TGCAATTTATGTGCTAAACGTTTCAAAAATCAGTTCTTGAAACAAAGACCTAAATAAAAATGTTGTCATGCCATGGCCAAAAAAGGGTTTTCCCCGTGGGAATCGCTTAAGTTTTGCCAAAGTGATGGGCGTCTGTTGTAAATGGGTTTGATATGATATCGTGTCTTGATCTCTCAATTTGAGCGCTTAGTTATGAGTAATTGTGCAACATAAATCTGCAATTACACGCGAGCTCAACTGGCAAATATGGATCTGTGCCGTTACAAATTACTCAATTTAAATCAATAAAAGCGCAGCTCAGGCAACAGGCTGTTCCATATACCAGATGACCCCCAAGCCCATGCCCAGACCCAGACCGAGACCCAATCCCGTAACCAATTCCATTTTCAATTCCATTTCCATAAGCTATTGTGGATGCCCCAAAGCGAAGCCACCTACCGTTGCAATGGCCGCATACGAATGCCAGATCAATGTCGGCCTCAGTGGCTGCTGCGTATTGTGGCCCAGGCCCAGGCGCAGGCGAGCATATTGCTTCATGAATAGTTTCCAGATTACATAAGACATCTCGCTGCTGCAATTGACGAGGGCGCCGGTGCGGGAGGGTGAAAGACTCATAAAGATCGATGCGCGCCGCTCGAGATATCCACATGCAAATTATATGCGTGCCACAGTGCCAGGAAACCGTCTCCAGACTGGGCCAGGGCCTGAGCTCGGCTCGACGCTGGGAAGGGTTGCGGGGCACGCTTAATGCGTAGTTTGTGTTGCGTTTATTGTTTTCATAAATAAAGAAAATGCTGTAAGAAACGCGAGAAATGACTCGACTTGCCGCGACTCAACTCAACTCGACTCGCCTCGAATCGCCTCGACTCGCCTCGTACTGGCTGCCACTCCGAAATTTGTCGGCTTACATTATTATTATTATTGCTTATTATTATGGCAATGGCGATTCACTTTACAAAAGACAGATTCACTTCATTTTTCACGAAAACAAAAAACCAACAAAGCCGTAGTCAGTCGGATTTTTGTATTATTTTAATATTTATTTACATTTGAGCATTTTGCATAACGCGCGGGTCACGACGGAAATCGTCGGCTGGCAATTTATCAATACATAGTTGTTGTTTTTTTTTTTTTATTTTTTTAACTTTTTTTCTTTTTAGCCTAGAGCCAAGAGACAGCGCCAGAAAGGTTCAGGTCCCCAGCTACGTGCAGTGTGCGAGGGGCCAAAAAATAGTCGAGAAAAAAAAATTGGCAGAAAAAACCAAATGAAAAACGCGCCAAAAAATCAAAACGCGCACAAAATTTTTGCGGGGGGCGTTGCGCGATGCGAGCGACGAGATCAATGGGAAAACGCGCCGGGATTTGGCTCTGGGCAGGGCCAGACACACAGGTATTGGGGTCTGGTTATACTCCGACTCCGACTTCAGCTGGGCGCTGCGAATGCGATGTGTCCGCGTCTGTCCGGTGGAAAACAAGTTCAAAGCGTTTGCGGCGCGCAACTAAATTGAAATGAGTCGAGCGCCAAATGGAAAAGCCGCACACACGCCCCACACACACACACACACACACACACACACACACACACACACACACGCACACACACAGAAATAGCTGAGAGGGTGTTCAACACACACTGGCACAAGCGGATACACACCCAGCACATAGATACACTCGCCCATTGCCAGGCTTGAATGATTTTCCATGCGTGCGAACGATTTTCAATGTGAATCCGCTGAACGAATGAATCGCGCTTGAATTGATTGAATGCCAGTCAGTCAGTCGAATTCCAAATAAACAAATACACTATGCTACAGCATAACTTAAATTCACATAATTATATAAATATAAATAAATATATGGGGACATTTTATTATTAAATTATATTAATAAATGTTAACTTTTGTTATTTAATAATCAAAAAATTACTCAAGATCGAACCGAATTTGTTTTCTTTAAATCAAACTATGCCGATATGCCGTGTAATTAAATTTGATTAGCCAAGGCTTGAACGCGTCCTTGTAGCACAACCAGATACCCGAACCAATATTAAGACGAGTCAATGACTCGAACCGAACCATCGAACATGTTTGATGTAGTTGCAGGCCATGCATTGCATGTTAGGAGCGTGCTAAATTTGAAATTTCTTCAATCATTATATCTCTAACCTATATATTTAATACAATTTGATATCAAATTATAACTGAGTAGTCCCATCTACATTTTGCTTAAGTTGACACCCGCTCTGTCGAACATTCATAACTAAATAAATAAATGACTTGCTTTGAATAACTAACAAACGAAGAATATTCAAAAACAAAAGTTTTTAAAAATATAATAGTATGAATGCCTTGCTGTTAAGACTGGAACGTAATTGTTCTCGGAACGTATTATTAATTATTCCTAAACAGAAACAGAAACCCGTCTCTAAGTAATATTCAAATTCTTTTTATCACTTTAGGCACCCCGTTCTTATGGACGTTGTTTTATTGTGTTGCATAGTGATGGATGAATTTGCCGCTAACAACAACACACCCACATTTGCTGGGCACTGGGGAGAGAGGGCATTTCTTTTTATTGTTTGTTAGTCTGTTTTGCTGTGTGCCGAGGGGAGTCTCATTGTTTGCCTTGCGCTCCCCTCGACCATGCCCCCGTCGGACATTGTTAGCCATAATTGCGAAGTGCCAAGCGCATAGAGCGACATCTGCCAGCGCCTTGAACTTGGCAAAAATAAAATACTCGAATAGTTTCCACACTACGCTCGGGTACTCGCTATCCGCCTTTTGACAGGCCCTTTGTTTACCGCACACAGAATGGTTTTATGCTCGATTCCCCGGTATTCCGCGTGATTTCGATTATCGGAACATGCGATTTTTGTTTACAGCCAGCCCAGGCCGAGCGCTTAAGTGATGAGAAATAAACATTTGGACAGCGTATAAATATTATATTTTTTATTTCACAACCAGACCGAAACTGTGTGTGAGAAATGCCACACGCCAAATACTCTCTCCTAAGCTGGAACTAGATCCTAAGATCTCTCAAATACTGATCACATCTCTGATCAGCTGATCAGTTTCAATTGAGATCTGAACTCATTCAATGTGAATTTCCGCCAGTTGTTACTCAATTAAATTGTGAGTCAATTAATGATGCCAGCACTTTTCTAATTAGATACAATAGCTATAATTAATGTGTTGGAAATGCTTTAAGCCAACAATTATCTCATATGACATTAAACCTAGTTTAAAAACCAGATTTAGAACTTTAGCAGGCTAAGCGGGGCTGCTAAGTTGGCACCAGAAATTACAATTTACTTTTCGATGAATCATAAGCAGGATATCGAAAAAGCAACTAAAGGAATCCAGCGTAAAGGTAGCGCGCTGGTTCAAACTCTGAAGCGAACCCGCCAAATTGATTATTGAACTTATAATAAATTATAATAAGTAATTAATTAATAATAATTAAAACCCTTAACTCAGATAGGCCAGTATGACACGAGTCTAAGTAAAATAGTTGCAATCGTATGCATCCGACTGCACCATACTCTGTTCACAATTAAAGATCTTAAACCAGATCGAAAAGAGAACTTCTTGAATAGAGTTTCTTAGACTGTTGACTTTCAAACTGTTGCCAATATAAGAGGTAAGAGGTAATTTCTAGACTGTCTAGTAGATATATAGACCTGAACGCTTCTTGAACACCCTTTTTATAGACTATCTAACTGTAAATGTAAAGCAGTGTCTTTCAAATAGGCGGCAATTATGCTGTCCCGATCTTTAGACTCTCTACAAGTGGCACAAAAAATTATAATATTTTATCTGAAGCCAATATTGACTTAATATAGTTATATATACCGAATTCCAATAAACTGCCTAACGGACAGTTTGAATATAATATCATAAAACTCATATACTCTTTTGCATTTGATGAACAGGGTATCAAAACAAACTACCGTTACTATCATTCTAGCTGCTTTTAAAATATATTCTTGAATAACTTCAGTTCAAACTTTGTGCAATTTTCAGGGAATAAATATAGCCGCAGAATATGCGTTAATACCAAAGACCAAGTCTTTAACTGCAATACTGCAATATTGGGTGTGAAAAGGGAAACAAATATTGTATTAGATTTTGCCCAAAACCAGTTGACCCTTGTTACCCAATTCAATGGGTTAGGGGTGTTGCAAAGCCATACTCGCATATCATGGCAATAGAAAACTCTTTGATATGCTCGCAGCGTCTGCCGTACTCTCCCCTTAAACGTGTTGTGCCTGCAATTTGCCTGCTTATGAGCAGCTACAGCAACACGCCCAAACGAAACTATTTCGAAATCGCGCAAATAATTGCCAAAAATGCACAAAACTATAGAAATTCAACAAAAACATGAAAACTTTCATTAAAAATCGCATAAATTTGATTTCTAACAATGCGGCTAAAATGCTGTACAGTTAGTTTGAATTGATGATAAGACGGGCAGAACTGTTTTTCAAACTGACAGCGATAATCGCTCAAACTGGGGACAGGCGCAGGCACAGGCCAAACATGCAAAATAGCAACAACAACAACAACAAGAATGCGGCTCACGGCCAGGCCAGATAGGGCCAGGCCAGGCTGGTGGACACACCTACCTCTGGCGTGGCCCATAAGCGGAAACGGAACAAAGCGGCAGACAGTTGGCGACTACGTCACGGCCGGGGGGAGAGTTGTCGTTGTCGTAACGGGGGGGTTGAGCTTTTGACGTCTACAGTTTTGGAGAAATTGTAGCAAGTCACGCCAATGCGAAAAGCTTGAACCCTTTCGCAGGAAAAACAAAATTAGCTGCAAAATTGCGCCGAAAATTATTGGCTTTAATTGAATTTATGCCGGACTACGTCCGTCGCATTTAATTGAATTCCAGAGAAATTAAGCGTTAGACAAAAATCAATTAGTTTGATGGAGTTAAATAAAATAAAATGGGGTTGAAATTTACAGTTGACCCACTTTGGTCACACTCAGGACACTCACCCGCTGCTGCTGCTGCTGTTGACGTCGACGCGGCAGCGCCAAACGCTTTTTAATCCATTTGAGCGTCGTTTGACGACTGCGTGTTAGCGACATGCTGCAAAAGCTCCACACGTGCAGGATCAGCACCAGGATGCACTGCAGCCACTCGACGCACTGCTCGCGCGTTGGCAGACGCAACATTAAGCACAACAACACACTCCGACTGAATGCGGCAACAACAATTTCATCACTTTCGGGCAGAGCGACAGAGACAGAAACACTTCAAGTCGCTTGCACTTGGCGCTCTTTTGGCAAAGCTTTTGCACAATATTTCGTGTATGCGTTTACTTTAAGCACTTTTCAGCTGCTGCTTCTTCTTATTTCTTAATAGCACTTGCGATTTACGGAGGGCGTGAGCTGCGCGGGGGCCTCTCTGGCAAATACTTATTATTAGCGCGGACGGGACGCGGACACCGTTGTTACTTCAGTTGCGATTGTTGTTTGACTGAGAATGCGGTCGCGTTTGGCGCTGCTGCTGCGACAGCGCCGACTGCGAGAGCGGCTTAGACCGAGACCGAGAGTGTTGCAGTAGGCGCAAATTGTCACCAATGCGACACCTTGTAGTTGCTGTTGTTTTTGTAGCTTTTGCTATTGTTGATATTGTCGCTGTCTGCGTGCACGTTTTGTTTATAGCTTGTGTGCGTGTGCGTGAGTAGCGCCCAAGAAAGTAAATGCGAGCGTATAAATAATGCAATAAGCAAAAGCGAAACAACAAGTAGACAAAAAAAAAAAAAAAACCCGAAACCTTAAACAGCACTTTTTTGCAGTCAGAGCACATCGCACTTCAAAGCCGGCGTCGCTGTCGCTGCCGCCGTCACAGTTAAGCCCAGCCCTTCTCTAGGCCGCGGTCGCTGCCTAAACTGAAATTAAGCTTTGCACTCAATTTGATTGTCAGCAGCAACATTCAAATATATGCATGCCAGAGGAGCTTTTGTTGTTGTTGATGTTATTATGATAGACCGAAGCACAGTGGTTGATAGTAAGAGTGAATAGGCATGAATTAAACAAAGGCAATGTATCGAACACTACTTGTTACATATAATACATAACATTGAAATTATGAAATAAAATAAGTATGTCAATAAATTTAACATATTCTGTTTAATTTTTAGTAATAATTTAAAATTACATGCATATGGCACCACAGTGCCTTGAATACATGTGGGTGCTTTTACCTACTCCCTGTCAAGACGATTAGTGAGAGAGCGCTAGAAGGAGAGAGAACGAAAACAAAAGCTCGTCGTGCATTTTGTGGCGATAGAAAAAAGAGGAAGCATCAGCAAACGCAACAGTAGCCCAAAAGCTTTATCGGTACTTCTTGTTGTTGTCATTGTTATTGTTATTTACTAGCTCGCTCACGTTGCCAATGCACTTTATTGTTGCTGTTGGCGTTGTCTTTGTTATTACGGTTATTTATTTATTTATGCTAATGTTGCTGTCGACGACGACGCCGCCGTCGACGCTGACGTTGCATTGTTTAGAATGAGAACAGCGAGACAACGACAACAACAACAACGACAAGTGGCACTCACGCGACAAAGCCCATAAATTAGGTGTTCTCATAGTTATCTGTGCGGCGTACTCTACAACAATATTTATTTATTTATTTATAAAGAAAGTGCATTGAGAGTTTTGGCTTTCCCAGCGCTGTGAGTTTTCGAATTGTGAAAAATTCTCAACACGTTTCCCGAACTGATCACGAAGGTGCACAGCTGATTCATGTGACTGGCTCAGGTATCCAATGCAAAAACCACCTGTGCGGCTGATGTCGCCGCTGGGTACGGCCTGGGCTCTGCCGTGGGTACGTGCCACTTGCCACTGCCACTGCCACTAAATGAATACTGTTGCCAGTTTTTTGTTGAATGAATTGTGATGCCGGCTCATTCATAAGTTAGCCATAGCCTGGCACGGCTCGCAGGTGTTAAATGGATGGCATGGCATCAGGTTTTAACCTTTAGCATGAGTATCTATCATAAATTCATGCGATACTCTAGAGTGACAGCAAAACTGGCATAAGCTTAATAAAATACCCTTATTGCAGATAAGGAACCGTTATGCTAAATACACATGCACATTTGTTTTGTGTGTACAGCATGCTATACCCTGTTCACATTAGACAGCCAGGTATATTGGTTTTTGGGCAGTCTTCTTGAGGGATTTAAAAACTGATTTATATAGATATTTATATTGATATATTAAATTCGGGATAGATGGACATGGTTTTAAAACTCAAGCAGAGTATTGCAAAGTCGCTAGCACCCGATTGCAAAGTATAAGAAGAAAGATGTTTAGATCTTATAAACTATATATACTCAGTACTCAGCATGAACATCCCATCCCACTCGGCTTAACTATGCCTGTCCGACCTCCCCTTCGTAAATATCTCGGAGACTCTTACAGCTAGATGCATGAAATTTGGTAGGTATGTTCTTATAGAGCACACACAGATTAAGAATATTCCATTTCAGTAATAGATTCATTAAAAATGCCTAGAACCTCTTCAAAATTTTCAAAATCTACGCAGCTTAGAGAAGTTTGTGCTAAGCCAAAAAAACTCTTCAATTGAAAGCAAGACAAGGGAAGGAATTCTGAACAGAATCCCCTTACATATGCTGGAATTTGAACGAATACACTTTTCCATTTTAATCACAATAATCAGGCAATATATATATATATATATTTTTTACCAATTGCCATAATGGATTCCGAAGAAGCAGAGAACGTGGCGCCGCGAGTACGCTTCCGTTTGGGCAAAGCTGAGGACAACGCGCCCAAGGAGGACGCCACGGAGCCGTCGGCTGATGTCAAGGAGCCCACGGAGGATGGGAGCACAGCTGGGCCGGCGCGTTTCAAGCGCAAGCTGGGCTCCTGGATATTCGAGAGCGTTGGCGGTTTCTATATGCCCACGGAGGACATTAGCAAGTTGCCGGTGCGTCGGCAGGAGCATCTGCTCATACGGGATCTGATCTATGCGTTCTCGGGTGTGCCCTCGTCGCACATACGCCCGGAGATACCCTACAAGGAGATCTCCCAGCTGCGCACCGATCAGGTCGACAAGGTGCGCTTCAAGATCGACGAGAGCTTCAGCGGCGCCTTTCGCTCCCTGGCCAACGAGCTGCTGCCCCTGATCGGCTACTATATCAATGTACAAAGCTTCATCGAGGACACCATCATGACGACCGGCTGCGCCCGCACCCTGGGCATTGCGCTGCACAAGAGCATGCAGCAATATTTCGAGCTGCAGGCCGGGCTCGAGACGCAGCTCCAGGAGCGCAAGCTGGATCTGCAGCAGCTGGTGCATCAGTTGCGACCCTGGCTAAAGATCATGCAGGCGCTGGCCAGCCTGACCAGCCGGGTGCGTCGCTCGGAGCTGAACAGCGCCCAGCTGCTCTCGCTGATGGACGAGCATCAGGCGCACTTCAAGTGCGAGCAGCTCAAGCTGATCCTCAGCGACGTCTCCCACTACTACATGAAGATGGTGCAGCTGTGGACGCAGAAGGGCGTGTTGTACGATGTGCGCCGCGAGTTCTTTGTCGAGGACACCAGCGCCAGCGACATGAGCAGCACTCTGCTCTCGCCCAAGCAGTGCTGCCACGCCTACTGGGCGCAACGCTATCGTCTGCACATGGAACGGCTGCCCAGCTTCCTGGCGGCGCATGCCGAGCGCATATTCCTTGCCGGCAAGTATCTGAACGTGCTGCGTCAGTGCAATGTGCAGATGAAGCTGATGCAGGCCTCGCTCACCTATGTGCCCCAGGTGGAGAGGGAGGGCGCGGCGAAGGTGGAGGGAGAGATGGAGGTGGAGCCAGCACATGTGGCGCTCATCCGCAGCAGCTATGAGCTGCCGGCACGCAAGCTGATCGAGCTGCTGGTCAAGGAGCAGCAGCTGCTGCAGCATCTGAACAATCTGCAGGATTACTTTCTGCTGAAGCGTCTGGAGCTGGTGGAGGCCGTGCTGGACAACTGTGCGGATCAGCTGCAGTGCAACGTGGACAGCCTGAAGCCGGAGAAGCTGCAGCAGATAATGCTGCAGCTGCTGCAGCAGAGCACAGATCCGCACAAGCATCTGCTGCGCAGCCAGCTGATGGACTGCGATGTGGCCACGCAGCTGGCCAGGCGCCTCAAGCGTCTGACCAAGCTGAAGCCGGAGCAGCATGCCGACCAGGAGCAGTCCAGCGAGGCGGAGGCATCCAGTGAGACGGAGTCCAGCCGGCTGCCGGCACAGCTGGCGCTCAGTGGCTATGAGGCCTTTACGCTGCGCTACGAGCCCAAGTGGCCCATCAGCCTGGTTATACACGAGGATGCCGTGGAGCAGCTGCAGCTGCTGCATCGTGTACTCTTCTATCTGCACTATGTGCTGCGACAAATGGGCGCCACCCCCAAGCACAGCGCGCGGGCCGATGCGCTGCTGGAGCGCATGACCGAGTGCATCCGACAGCTGGAGCAGCACATGACCAGGGACATTGTGCAGCCACGCTGGCAGACTCTGCTGGAGAGCGCACAGAAGGCACAATTTGTGGATGAGCTGCTGGAACAGTTCCAGGACACGCTCGACCAGTGCCAGCTGCTGTGCCTGTTTTCCGAGCCGGCGACGTTTGTGCGCGCCATCCACACGCTGGGCCAGCTTTGCCTTAACTACAGCAGCTTCATGGAGCGCCAGGGGAGCGGGCCGGACTTCGAGGCTGGCGTGGCCGAGTACGAGCAGGAGCTAAACAGCCTGCTCATTGGCATCCTGGATCTGCTCATCGAGCTGGCGCGGCCGAACAGCGCCAGCGGACATCTGGAGCGCGAATCCTGCAAGCAGCTGCTGCAGCGCCTCGAGCATGTTAGCCAGGATCTGGGCGACAGTTCCGCCTCCAGTGAGAATTCGTTTTAGCTTTACTTTTATTTTTGTGTGTGTGTGTGTGTGTGTGTTTCAGCCATGCCAAATTAACTGTGGCCCCCAAATTTCCAGTGTTTGCCCAAGCAAATTGCCCAATTGAGGTGTTCAGACTAGCTGGCAACAAGTTGCAATCATCTAACAACAAGTTGCAACAAGTCGCAGTTGCATCTAAAATCAATTTAAAAACTTCTCCCTAGTGCTAGAATTAACTTTGGCGAAAGGGACTAAAATTTATGAATTACTCGAGTTCTTTTCAGTTTTAAAAAGTAAAAGAAGACAAATAGTTCAGTTTTAATTAAATTAACAATAGTTGATCAATTGAAAAAATAATACAAAAAAAAATTGTACTGTTTACCAAATAAAAATATGCGATTAGGTCATGGCTGCAAGCCAAAACAATAAAGAGTGTTTCAGTGGGAAGATGAAGGGGAAGTATCCAAATATACGTACATACCACATTTGATGAAACTAGCTGTTGGTTTTCTCAAGTTATGCTTAAAAAGAAATGTTTACAAATCGATATATATCGATAGTTGGACTTTATCAGTCCGTAGTGAGGGAAGTTATTGAAAGAGTAAAATATTTGTTATCCATTGACTCGATACGAATGTGCACAGAAATTTTGTTGTATCTAGTATCTAGAATAAACCTCGATTTATGCTTAAAATATCGATTTTTATCGATATTTTTCGATTTTCTTAAATACTAGGAGATATCGACAGCAAAGTCAAAGTTAACGAGTCCTACGTATGAGAATATATGTATTTCAAATTTTAAGTATCTAGCTTTTGTAGTTTCCGACTTCCAACAGTTCAGACTATTCCGACTTTGCTTTCTATAGACTTACAGCTGTGGTATATTTTACAAATAAAAGATATAATTCCGGGTTCGAACCACTATCTTGGTCCGAATACAGCGCAGCCCACTTAGTGCGCACATAAATTCAGGCCACAGCTTGGAGCTGCGTACAATGGGCGTGAATAATCGATTTGTGTGCTTAATTTCTGTCCAGAGTGCGACTATTTATGCCAAGTCACGGCAGCGAATGCATCAAGCATTGATTTGCATAAGATCGTAAATTATTTTAAATGGCGGCAAAAGCGATTTTAGGCACTTGCTGTTCGCCTGTGCGCCTGGTCAGCTCCACCCCCCCCCCCCCCCCCCTCGCCACGACAACAATTTCAATTCAAAGGCCAATTGTTATGTAAATCTGGAAAATGCACTCACAGCCAGGTCGAATTCGCGGGCAGAGCCTCACGCAATGCTCTGCAGAAATCTTTTATGAATAAATATTAAAAAAATATGAAAAAAGGCATGTAAGAATGCAGCTGGCGAGTCGCTTGAACTGGCTGCTACCCTGTAGTCAAGCATATTTTTACTCAAATATATGTTAACGCGGTTATTGCCCGGCTTTATACGTGAATGAGTTTGAAGCAGTTTGCGTGAATATTGAAATTTCGCTCTTACCGCCTTTGATAACGAGTGCATTAAAATGCAAACAGAACCTAGTTTAGCATTAAGGTAATTCCATGAAACACCACAGGCAAAGGATAGACAAACGAACATACAATGTCAATATACCCTATTCACATAATGAACAGGGTATCAAAAACGGCAACTGCAATATAAAAAGTGCATCAAAAGGTAAACTGAACTCACTTTATATTTATCGCTTTGCGCTTTAAGGACAACAGGTGGTCGAGCTCGTAAGCTCGATGATGACGACAATGTGGATGATCATGTTAATGATGATGATGATGATGATGATGATGATGATGATGATGATGACGATGATGTTGATGATGCAACAATAAAGTGCGGCCGGCGGCAGAGCAACTCAACCACCAATAATAATGGTCGCAAAATTATGGTAAAGTTCAGATGCATTGCTTCCGAAATGTATATCATTATGTGCTTGCGAAAATGATGGACTGCCGCTGTCCAGATCCATTTACCAGATGAATGCGGCTCTCACTCGGGCTAGAGTGAGCTGTGTCCACTGATATGTGCATTATGGCAGCCGGCCGGCCAGCTGATGCCCAGCAGCCGGCCGAATGCCGTGGGAAACTGTGGTCGGGGCTGTGGTTGGGGCTGTGGTTGGGGCTGCGACTGCGGCTCTGTCTGCGGCTGCGACGGCAATTCCGACTGCGACTGCGACTGCGGTTCAGTTCATTAAACCTGTGACACGCCTCGGTCACGAGATGACTTCATTTGTGCGCCGCTTAGAAATGTCATAAACTTGAACTCTTGTTTGGCGGCTGCGGCGGAAGTGCGAAGTCAAGGTTCACTGCACGTTTAATTAAGACACAAATTATTTGCCACAGCCAGCCCATTGAATTGTTTTTAATGAATTGTTGGCTGGCAATTCATAACATTCAAATATCAATTCACAATTTGGTTGAGCTGTCTTTTAAAAACCGATTTGTTCAAGAACTTTCGGACATGGGTTCGTTGCGGAAGTGCGCAAATAAAAAAAAATAGATTTAAATAATTACTAAACCTTAACAAAGCTTGATTAAGCTTTTAATAAAAGGCCTTAGATTAACCAGCTCATAATTAATAATTTAGTTAATTCCCCAACGAACTTTTTGAAGGGCCTAATTTGCGAGTTTGTGCTCGTAAGCCAAAAGATATTTTAGCCAAAACCTTAACTTGCTTAAAGAGCAAGGTGGAATCTGAAATCTAGATAACCAAACATTGAGTTTCCTTAAGTTCCTATTTGAGCTAGTTCGAAAAAAGTCCAAACTCAACATCTTGTTAGAGAAGGTTTACGAAGGCTCATCCCATCATATTTCCCCTATGGAATTAGTTCCCCATTCAATCGTAATTATTTTTCACCCTATTGCTTCTCATATTCTACTTTAATTAATGGAAATGCAAGTATTCCTCTATTCATCCGTGGGCTGCTCTGGCAGCTCCACTTCCACGAGCTCTGTTGTGGATATTTCGGCCTCGACTTCGGAATCCGTATTGGTTTTGGGGCCCAGCTTGCGCTTGTTGTAGAGCAGATCCACACCGAAGTCGCATTCGAAGATCTGATTGTCACGCAACTTCTCCTTGTACCAGAGCAGGCGTTCGGTATTCCCGCCCAGCGATTGATCCAGCAGCTGGCGACGCTGCAGTCCGCGCTCGAGCAGTTCGATGTAGTCGATGGACTTGAGTTCGGGGAAACGTTGAAGCTTCTTGAAGGCGTGCCGCTCGACACTCTCGTAGGACTCGGCCATGGCCATTTCGTTCTTGACCCGCTCCGCGATCATCTCGCTGCGCTGCAGGTCCTGCACCTCGGCGGGCAGGATGCGCGATCGTATGGTGGCCACATCGTCTTCGACAGTCTGCAGCAGCTGGGCATGCGACTCCTTCTTGGCCATCTCATAGCTGAGGCGTTCCTTTTCCAGTGCCGTTTCGCGGGCCAGCTTCTCGGGATCCATTTGCTTGCGCGACATGAGTATGGTCATCATGCGATTCAGATTCAGTTCGTCCCACTTCTTGGCCATGCGCTCGTTGTAGTTGGAGCCCCCCTTGAAATTGCCACTAGTATTCATGTGGATATTTAATTAATTATCCCTCTCGAATCGGTCTCAATCCTTTGACTTACGTTTGCTCCTCTTCCATGTCGGAGGCGCGTTTGCGTGGATTTAGTTGTTCCCGCTCCAGGCGTTCCATTTCCTTGCGTGCCTCCTCCTCAGCCTCGCGCTTCGCCTCAATAATGTCCTTGTTAAGTTCATAGTACTTTTGCTCCCAGGCGCGAATGCTCATTTTGCGCGTGATTTGACGCAGCACATATTTCATTAGTTTCTGCGAAAGAGTGTGGAGTATGGAAGAATGAAAGGATTTCGCCAGCCAGTTAGACTCACGGCCAGTTCATTGTCCAGCGGCACATCGAAGCTGTGCGGCAGCTTGACCATGCGTATGCTGCTGTTGTAGTCGCCAATGCCCAGGATTTTGTGGGGCAGCGAGGGCCGATGCTCGGTGACGGCTGTGATGATGCCGCCGCCCAGTACCTCAGTGAGGACTGCATCATCATCCCGAGCTGCGGTCAAGGAATACATGTGGGACAAACTCTGGATGATGACTATTGGTTAGTTACCCAAAATATCCCAAGCTTCCAGAATGCCATCCATGCGTGTTAAGTACAAGACAGCCGGACGCGTCTCGCTCCAGGCGACGGCAGTCAGATCGCAGGGACGCTTGCGCCAAATTATGGGTGAATCGTGATAGTCCTCCTTCCACAGCGCAAACACGGTGCGACCAATGGACGCAAACATTTCCGGATAGAAAGGATTCTTGCTCATAGCCACCACGGGTCCATCGTGCACCATGGCAAAGTTGACGGAGGCATTCACCTGCTCCTTGGCGCCCGCCTCGCTGTACATGCCCTGCCACTCGACGCGTATAATGTGTCCATAATAGGTGGACAGTATGAGGGACTGACGCAGCTCGGGCGGATTCTTGGGCACAACCTGAATGGGATAGTTGTTTGGCGAGTTGAGAATCACCTTGGGCGAGGGTGTCAGTATCGAGAAGACCGAAGTGTCCGCTATGATGCCAGTCAGTGGCTCATTGTAGAAGATGCTGTAGGTGGGCTTAATGGTTTTCGTCTTGAACACCGATTCGTTTTGGGTCAGCTCCTTGGGCAGGTTTTTGGTGCGCTGCGCCTCCTTCTCCTTCTTGGATGTCTCACCGTCCAGATTCCAGAAGCCGACGGTGCCGTCAAAGGCGCAAGTGATAAAGAAATGGTGATAACTGCGCTTATCCGGATCGGAGAAGACCTTGCCAAAGTGATTCAAATAAAAGTTCTTGGCCAGCCAATAGATGCCGGTGATGGCGCCGTTGGGCGAGTGCTCCAATGGTGACATGGTTGCCGGCGCCACCACCACCTCCTCGTTGATGTCCAGCGTCCAGTTGAGAAATTCGCCAATCAGCGCTCGATACTTGGCCTGCGCCGGCGTCAAGTACTCCTCCTCCTCCAGGTGATCGCAGCGCCCCTGCAGATCCCATACCACCAACTGTCCATTCTGGCAGCCGCCCAGCAAAATATCTCCGTTGAACGGACAAAACGAGAGCGTCGTCACCTCAAACGGCGCCTCAAACTCCAGCTTATAGTTCAGATTGTCGGCAAAGCTCCAGAGCAGCACGGGATTCGGTTCCAGCACCGCACGCTGCACAAAGTTCACCTGATGTGTGGCCAGATCTACGGTCACGGGTGTGCTAAACGCATAGGAGACAGCGATGAGTCCGGACAGTTTGGGATACCAATCGCAGCTGG